ATAGATATGGAGATCATTTGGAGTATTATCAGCTGGAAGAGAAAAGGGGAAGGATGGGGGGAAAGGTACAAGGATTAAGAAGCATGATTGGTAGGTAGAAAATAGGGGGATATCAAGAATAGTATAGGAAATGGAGATGCCATAGAATTTATATGCACAATCCATGGACATGAATAAGTGTGAGGAATTGCTGGAAGGAATGGGGGTACCAGGCAGATGGGAGCAAAGGAGGAAAATCAATACAACTGTAATAGCATAATCAATAAAATATATTTGTTTTAAAAAGAATCACCTGGGAATCTTGTAATACAGATTCCTATTTAGTGGATCTGGGGTGGAGCCCGAAGTTCTGCATTTCTGTCAAGCTCCCAGGTGATGCCAAAGTCCATGTGACCTTGAATAGCAAGGTCTTGGAGTATTATAGACAATTCACCCTTCTCATCCACATAACGAAAGTCCTATTTATAAATCCATCATCCTCCTGGTACACAAGTGCCTTCTCATCATCCTTCTTTCATTTATTATTCCGCTGTGCTATTGTTCTTGCAGCTTTTCTTTCTTTCTTTCTTTCTTTCTTTCTTTCTTTCTTTCTTTCTTTCTTTCTTTCTTTCTTTCTTTCTTTCATTAAATTTATTGGGGTGATGTTGGTTAATAAATTATATACATTTCAAGTGAACAATTTATAATACATCATCTGTATATTATATTGTGTGTTCACCACCCAAAGTCAAGTCTCCTCCCATCAGTATTTATCCCCCCTTTACCCTCTTCTACCTGTGCCCACCCCTCTTCTCTTCTAGTAGCCACCATACTGTTGTCTGTGTCTTGTCTCTTTCTTTCCCTTCCTTTTTTCCTTCATTCCTTCCTTTGTTCCTTCCTTCGTTTCCTTCCTTCCTTCCTTCCTTCCTTCCTTCCTTCCTTCCTTCCTTCCTTCCTCCCTCCCTTCCTTCCTTCCTTCCTTCTCTCTTCCTCCCTCCCTCCCTCCTTCCCTGCTTCCCGTTGGCCTCCTTCCCATGGTGACTGCATCTCACCATGAAACTAAAGCAGGGACATGCACACACACACATGCAAGATCCCACCAGGGAGCTGGGTAAGAGAGAATAAACTGACTTTCTTCCTTAGGATAGGACTAATAATGATCTGAGTTTTGTATAAAATAGTTCTCTATCTACTTCTGCGGTACTTACTATGTCCATGTGTCTCTAAGTTCTGAGGTAATTTATAAGTGAGTATATGAATGATTTATTTCTTCTATAAAATTTTTCACTTTGCCATCTTTTGTACTTTCTTTCTCCCTTGTCATATCACCAGCTTTCTTTTCATCCTTTCTCTCTTTGCTATTTTTCCTCCCACTCTGCTATTTTCTTGTTGATTTTTTCAATGTTTAAAATTCCCAACCCATTCTCAGGATTCCACCCCTGAATTAATTTTTTAAAAAACCACTCAACCTTGACATCTCAAAAAGAGACTCCACCCAGATTATTTTGGAGCTTCTTAAATCCAATGGTGAGACCAGAAATCAGTCTAGGAAAATACATGTGTGTGCATGTCAGAGAAACAAAGAAGGCAGTCAAGTGCAAAGGGAAAGGCTAGATCGTTCTTCTCTAGAAAATACCTGGCCAGGGCTTTATTCCAGGACTAAACATTTGTCCTGCTTACTGACTAAAGTACTCTTTCTCTCTCTGCAAAATAATAAAAAGGATGTTCATTTTTGTGAACGTGGCTATTTTCTGGATATTAATAGTGCTTAATTCTACTTAGGAATAAACAGACTGCTGTGAGCTGAGCCTGTACGCTCCCTGCCCTTGGGCTGAGCAAGGTGCTTAGCTGTGAGTTCCTTGCAAAAGTCTATCAGTGACGAAGCCTTTCTCCACTTCTCGGAACCCAGGGACAGGGCAGGAGTCTGTTTGTCTGTGTCTGAGAGTGAATTCTGTACTGTGCTCTTTCCAAATGCAGTGAGGTTCAAGAGAAGTTAAATTTTTAAGGAAAAGGAAGGTAGAAATGCTAGGTGTCTTCTTGGTGGAGAGGAAAGAGGACATCACTCTGAATTCAGTTCACCCAAAGCTTAATGGCTTTTCTAAGAGACTTGCATGTTTTAGTTGATCCTGTGTTCCTCGCTATGTGACAGGTGACCCAGACCTGAATTCTAAATGAATTCTAGCCAGGATAAGTTATCCAAACTTGTTGCACCTTGATCATCTCATTGGTAGAGGGGACACAATTACCTTAACTGACTGGGTGCCTGTAACTTAACAAATTAAAGGCATGCCTAGAAGCAAGCTCACACTTCTTCACAGCCATTGTCAACTGGGGGCTTGGAAGACGTTTATTATGTGTCAGCATCCATCTTTCCTTCCTGGATAAAAAGAAAAGACAAAGGAGGAGGGAATGATAAATCTGCAATATATAGTACCAATAAAATCCCTGGCTGTGATGGTAGAAGCATCAAAATCCGGGGGCTCGAACTCAAATGCCAATAAAGCCAGGCAGGTTGTGTGAATCAGGACAGCACCACCGAGGGAAAGAAAAAGGAGCAAAGCAGATGGTGGACAACCGCGTTAGAAATACCTCAAATGCCTGTTAGTTTAGCATTAGGAAAATAGCTACACACCCATAACAAAAATGGCATCCTGCCACTCCACTTTGAGTTCTCAAAGTAACAAGGAGACAGTGGGGCAGGGGTCAACTGGACAGAGCATGCGCCCTCCGGAGGGGAGCCACTCTCTCCACCTGACAGGTATCATGCAACACCGGACTCTAGGCTCCGTGTTGCCAGGTCTTACAGCTGTTTTCAAGATGCATAAGAGGCTTTGTTTACTCCTAAAATATTCCAGTTTATAAATGTCGGCCAGCCCTGTGGTACGGCCCAACAGAGCATACCCTCCCAGGCTTGTGGACAATGAGGTTGCAACCTGGGCGCACAATGAATTGCTGTTCGCTTTCTGTTCTCTGCGAGGTAAGAAAGCCCTTTCTGAAACCTGAACTTGGAAAGTCAGAATGGAATGCGTACACGCCTTTGCTGACTCAGGCTGGAAATTGCACACCCTTGACTAGACTTCTTCGTGTGTGTTTAATTCTCACCGTGTCCCTATGAGGTGAGCATGATCCCTGTTTTCCAGATTAGGAAATACGAGCTTAGACAAGCAATAGTTTGCCCAAGATCTCACACAGGAGCAACGCTCAGAGTTGAAGCCGATTGTTTTGTCCAAGTGTAGTGCCTCTGTCGTACCATGAAGGGGAAAAATAGCATTTGTGAGCCCAAGCTTCAATTTCCTTCCATGGTTTCTCTTGATAAACATTAGGTAGGTCACTGGAATGCCAGTTAGGAAAGTGGCTACCTCAGAGGGTGAGTGAATATTTTGAGCCTGGACATATTAGAGGCCAGAAACTAACTCCCTTCATCCTGAAGTTAGATTTGGCTCTACTATTTAGGGACCTTGTGTGAGAAATTTTTAAACACCAGTAATGGTGGGAAGTCATAGTTCCTGCAATTAGACCCAAGGAGAGAAACTTCCTTAATATTATATCTGCATGGTTTCCAGGAAGGTATGAGAAATGCCAGTTTAACCCAATTGAAACTATAAAGGAACTTACTGGCTGTGGAAATGACAGTGCCAGGCTTAGATCGAGTTTCTGGCAAGACTTAATCCAGTAGATCAAGGTTTTACCAAAAACCCAGATTTCCTCTAGGTCTCCTCACTGCTTTCTGAAATCCGGCCTGAAACAAAGATTGGATTCCCATGTGTTTTTTATCAGCCAGCATCTTCTAGTTTCTACCCTGGGGAAGAGAAAGAGAACAGTGTAGTAACCCTGTCCTCAGTGCCAGGAATTGCTTTCTCTGGCTTTCCTGCTTTCTAGCCCGAAGATAGGGTTACTGGTTGGGTTAAGGTAATCAGGTCTAACTCTGGATTTAGGGCTCTGCCACTCCCACTCCAGTTGCACAGCTGCTATAAAAAAAAGGTGGGGCGGGAGGTGGGTATATTTGCCCACAGAAAAGTGAGTATGTTTGTAATGGAAAATGTTCCTCCATTTCCCATGAGTTCAGGGAGGCAACTGACAGATACTTGCTACAAAAACCCACCTGGTCTGTGGCTGTACGAGACATAGTCACACTTCATACAACATGTTCTCTCATGCACACAAAGAAAGGTAGCAAATTCATCCGGGGGAGCCAGGCTGGATGGGAAACCCAGACAGAAGGATTTTGCTGTTTTTGCTTTAAGACAGAAATCTGCTGTGTCTCACTTTGTGGTTGTTTTTGTTGCTCTGAAGAAGATTTGGGGAACATTTGCCATTTGGGAGGGTTTCTAACACTAAATTCTGAAAAATGACAAACCATCATGTGCTCAGGGTTCAGCAAACTGCTGCTGTTTTTGTAAACTAAGAATGGTTTTTAAAAGATTGTAAAAGCAAAGATTATGCAGCAGAAATTAAACATGGTCTGTGAAACCTCAACTATTATCGGGTCCTTTTCAGAAGAAGTTTCCAGCCTCCGATCCAGTGCACAGAAGTGAAGTTTCTTTACCTCTTATTAGAGCAAAATAACAAAGTTTAGCGAATCCATGACTCAAAACCAAATTCACAGGAAACCTATTATAGAATTAAGGCATTAGTAATTTCCTTGACCACAAAACAATCCCTTCAAAGTCCTAACTGAAAACAACTTTCATCTACTACTAATATCTTGCTTCTTTCTCATTGGCTGGCTGCGGGGCTGGGGGAAGGAGAGGGGCGCACGGAAGTGGGTGACGGGAGGTCAAAGGCAGAGACATTATTGATTCCATAGGCGGCTATTCTTGGCTGATCACCCGTCGACTACTAGTTGTGGCATAAAAACAAAATCTCTGCCAAAGTTCTAGGTTCTGAGATGTCATGTGTAATGATGTCACAGAGAAATTACCCTTATATTCCAGCTAAGATCCTGTCATGAATAAGAGACAGCTACAGTGAGCCAACTGAACCAACAAGAGAGTTTTGTCAGCAGTTGCCAGGGGTAAATCATGGTGCAGATTATTAAAGATGAGGCAAGTATTTATTTGGCTTCGTTGAATATTTCCAAAGAGACCAACTTGAGAACAGATGTAATCAATTTTAAGAATGATTCCCTACACCCAGGACTCTGTTGCTTTGCAGCAAGGGGGGATTTCAAGACTCCTGCTCTTTGTGCTGTATCTTGAAGGTGGCACCGTCTGGCAGGGGTGTCCAACCCATGGCCCGCAGGCTGGATGTGGCTCAGGGTGGCCATGAATCTGGCTCAGTACAAAATCGTAAATTTGCTTAAAACATTATAAGATTTTTTTTTGTGATTATGTGTCGCAATGTATTTAGTATGTGGCCCCAAACAACGCTTCTTCCAGTGTGGCCTGGAGTCGCCAAAAGGTTGGGCGCCCCTGACAGAGTAGCCAGGGGCGAATGAATCAAGAAGGGTTTTGTTCCTCCCTGATGCTCCTTTCTTGCTCTGACTCTGGCTGAGTCCAGGCCAGCCCCGAACATATCCCATTCCGTACCTGATCCCAGAGTCTACCTTAACCAAGGGAAATTCTATGGAAGCCAAAGAGTCCGCATAGTTATCCTGTTCTGGGGAAGAGAAGAGAAGAGACACGGCTATGGAGTGGGGTAGGAAAAACGGTGGCCAGTGGTATCAACAATCCTTGAGTGGTCCTTCATAAACCCACTTGGTATCCATTGCTCGATGTCATCACAACAAACCTAAATATAGAGACAGGCCAGGGATACTTCTTTGTTTATAAAGGAGAAAATTGGCTCTAAAAGAGAAGCTGAGATCCTGCCTCATCCAGGGGTGGAGTGGGCATTAGAATCCGGGCTTCATTATAGGAGGCCCAGGAGCTGGACGGACCGAAGCGGGGAGGGCAGAGGGCCTGGGTTGCCAGCGCCCTTGGATTTTGACTTTCGACATTTCCCCCAAGTGCAGCTGTGCAGAAGGTCACAAAAATGAGACTGACCAGACTGAAAGGAAGTGTTGCCTCCTAACCTTGACAGAAGCCAGCGATTTCCAGCCGCTGTGCCGCAGTGCCCTGGTGCACCACAAGACTTTCTAAAACATGCAAAACCTGACTTGAGTCAGGGACACTGACCTCTTTTCCCTAGATCATCAAATTAAAGAACGACAACAGCCAACACAATTGTGGCGGCCTCCGGCCAGCAGAGTCCACCTGTTGTGACTGAAGATGAGAATAAATGCCTAGGAGACAGCAGTCCTGTGGAGAAAAAGGGGATGGCACAGTCACTCTCTCAAGCGGAGAGCGCCCCGAGTGCCTTGGCCACTGTCTCAAGAGGAGAGCACGCCGACCCTTGCCTAGACAAGCTTTTATGTTCTTCTCAGGTCTTACATCAAAGAAGGATTTATTATCTATTACCTAAAATATTGTTGTCTACATTTTAGGTACAATCAAGGAAGTGAAAATAACATGCAGAAGGGAAAGCCGATTAGCTCTGTCCTTGGGAGAATTCACACAGGCTTTGGAAATTACCTTGAAGACAGACGATACACATTTGTTGTTTTAGACCAGGGTGATGGAGTTTTAGCAAGAGCAAGCCATAGCAGTCTGTATGCATTTTCTAGGCCTGATTCCCACTGGAAAACCTGGTTTGAGGGCCTGGCTCCTGCCCACCACCTCGCTTCTGTAGGTTTTCTGTAAAGAGCTGAGTCACATTTGCCAGATCAAAACAAACCGGTCCCCTACAGGCCACCAGTGTGTGTGAATAGCCCCCAGCGTGAATGCATCAAAATTATACCTATTTTTTGGTCAGATCAGCAACAACTATATTTTCTGGTGTGCCGCAGAATTTTAGTAATTAGTTTAAGTGTGCCAGGAGATGAAAAAGGTTGAACATCACGGATGGATGCACACATTTTAAAACAGCACACATTTGCCAATGCTTTTAATGCTTCTCTTTTTCATTTTCTGCGAATCTCACAGTACAGCCTGTCCTGAGAAGCCTCCCCACCCCTGAGAAGCCCTCTCCATCTCCTCCTCAGACCCGTCTCCTGAGGGCCTGTTATCTCCCCCATGCCTTTATCCAAACCCGCCTTCTCACTGAGGTGGGCCTTGGCCACCCAGACTATAACTATAATCCTGCTTCTGTCCTTTCTTCCTACTTCATTTTTCTCCTTTTTTTTCTTTATCAGCAATGATCACTAACACACTACATATTTTACTTACTGATCTTACCATCGATCTTACCATCCGTTATCCCTCTACATTATAAGCTCTATGAAGGCAGGGAACGTTCTGTCTGTTTTTCTGTCCACAGCTGCATCCTGGCAGTGTGTCCAGTAGCTGGCCCAGAGCAGGCCCCAGCAGGTGCACGCTGAGTCAGCACATGCACAGTGGGGGTAGTCTCTTCAGAGAACTTAACCAAGGCCACGCCATCAGTCCAGCTACGCCAACTTACACCACAGCAACTGCTGGGAGGTGGAGGGTGTTGAGAAACAGAGGCTTGGTGTGGCCCTCTGACCAAAGGTAATTGCCCCATAGCCTAGAGCAGTGATTTCCAATTCCTTTTCATCTCCTAGCTCACATAAATTAATTGCTCAAGTTCTCCAGCATACCAAAAAATGTATTTTTTTTTTGCCTGACAAAAACAGGTATGACTTTGATTCATTCACACCAGTCAGCTATGGTTGTGTAGGGTGTTGTCATATTTTTTTTTATCTGACAATCTGAGAAATAAAAGGGGTCAGTGCCCCTGACTAAAGAGTCAGGTATTGCATGTTTTAAAAATCATTGTGCCACACCGGTTGAAAATCTCTGTCCAAGAGGAAAATTGGTAAAGGAACGAAGTATATCTTTTTTGAGCCATCAGCTTCACCTGCTTGAAAGTAAACCAAATGGCAATGAACACGTCAAGACTCTCCTAGTGCAGAGCCAGTGGCCCTTTGGGTGGAATTTACCACTTCCCTAATTCCAGTAGTAGGCCCTGCTTGACTTAATCCAATTGGTGATCCCATTTCCCCCGTCTTAACGAGTGGTCCAGGGATGAGCACGTGATACAATTAGAACCCGTGAGAGGGAGACTGAGCCCCAGTGCTAAAAAGAACTTCGGAGAAACTTTGTGTAGCAATTGAGGAAAACGGACCCTGGAGTCGGCTGCCTAGATAAGCAACCAATACACCACTCACCAGCTGGCTGACCGTGAGAAAACTGATCAATTTTCTTTTTTCATCTGTAAAATGGAGATCATGCTAATAATATCCACTCCATAGGGTGGTTTTAAAGACTAAGGGAGAGAATACCAGGCACAAAGTAAGTTAACTACTATTATTACAATTCCAGTCAGAAAGGGGAAGCTAAATCTTGACCAGAACACTAGATATTAGCACATCATTCATTCATTAACTACACATTCCATGATCACTGTGGAGGTTCCATGGAGGTCACAGGCGTGAGTCCAGGTGAGTTCTGCAGGGGCATGATAGAGAGATAAACCATGCACCTACACGGTTTATCTTGTTGATACAGCAAGCAATTATGGATACAGTGACATGAGGCCCTAGGAAGGGAAAGCTTATTTAGATGATATGGACAGGTGGTGGAAAATTTACTTAAGACATTCAACAGGAAGTGTGTCAAATCCTTAAATATATGGTTATGACGCTAGATGTAATAATGATCACTTCTCCAAAACTAAACAGAACAAGTGACTCAAGGTGTTAGATTCATTCTTCTCCTTTTAAATTTCACTATTTATGTATGTTTAGGTCCTTGTTTGAAAACTCAATACAGATGCTCACGTTAAACAACCCTCCCCCCTCCCCCCCCTTCTCTCACGGACTAATCTCGGTTTTCCCCAGGGGTAAATAACCATTACCAACAATCACTTGGTAAATAGGCTCCTAATCTGGAGGGTGATTTAGCATCACATGTACTTAAGAGATAAACATATATGACCTCAGGGACATTTGGGAGATTTTGGGCCACCAGGAGAACCATGAGATGGGGAACCTGGGTGAGGTTTGGAAGAAATCACCTATCATTTTATTCTTTGTAAAATTTTGTGAGTTTCTGTGATTATGCACATTTCCTCATTTATATTCTGGTTGCAGGATGAATTCAAAACATTTCTGAAAACTGCCGGATGCAAACTTGTGGTGGTTGAATTTTCAGCAAAATGGTGTGGTCCTTGCAAAAGGATTTACCCTCTTGTTCATGTAAGTATCACCAGTCTCTGTTTTCCAGTTTTAGAAGGAATTTCAAGCCCCCAAACATTTTTCACAGAAAAATCTTAAAAGTTTGGCACTTATGAGCCATTATGGAATCATGGTTTTTCAAACATCTTGATTAGCCTGAATATAATATACCAAGATCAAATTAATTAGCACACACACCAGAAGATGAAGAGTATTTGTCTATGGGTAATTCTGCAAGGAACATCAAGATGTGCAAAAGAAGGCAATTGTACAAGTGAATGGATTATTCATAATAAGGACATTTTACCAAAGGTCTTGAGTTGAGCACTTCTAAATATTGGAATAGATTCCAGATAAACATGAAACTTGGTTTTAACTGTAATATAAAAGAATAAACTACCCCCAATTCCTCAACCCTCTTACATATTCCTTTTGTATCTTTGATCTACTTTATAAAATAGTTTAGTAAAATATTCTACTTAGTAGAATATAATTGCACATTTATATTCAGATTTTTTCCACATATACATTTGTTCAAGTTTTTGCAGGTCTTCAGATTATAATTTTAATGCCTATCCAATGTTTTTATCTATTTAATTTTTCTCTTGGCCCATTTAAAAAATTTTCACCATTTTCTTAATTTTCAGTGTAACATGCTGCAGAAAAAAACTTCAGGGCATTTTTTTCTCATTTTCCTATAAGTGCAGAAGTTTTGCATTTATAGTAAAGTTTGTGAAATCTAGTTCTTCAAACATAAACAAATTTTCATTTCTCTATGCAAGTGGAAATAATCTGGTCTATTTTTCAGTGAGGTTTCTAATATTTCAATTTTTTTGACTTGAACTCTTGAATCAACCTGAGTTAATTCTATCCACAGTTACAACCTTTGACATTTAATTTAAAATAAACTTAGATTCAAATAGAGAAATTGGCTACGTGACATATGAACATCCATTCTGTGCCTAAAATTCTTGGCATATCAGAATGCAACATTAAAATATCTGACAGGCCCCTCTATTCTGACACTCAAGACTTTATGAGAATCTCCAAAGTTCAGCTTTGGGAGTATAAATATACTCACATGTTACAGAACCAAAGCTGATCAAATTCCAACAGCCAACCAGAGGCATTTCATAAAACACAATGAAACCTAAGGCTTGGTTACCTCTCCCCTCATCCCTTCGGGCCCTAAGGGTAGTAACAGCTTTGCTGCTACATCCAGGCTCCTGCAGCCTCTCCTGCCTCTTTCTTTATTGTACGTCACAGGTAGCCCTGTGGAGATAAACCTCCCTGAATTATCCTAACTTGAATGTGCCATCTGTTTTCTCTTGGAGTCTGACTAATGCAAACATAGTTTTTAAATAAATTTTGGTGCATCCACAACTGTGAAATACTGTTAAAATGTTGAAAAGAATCAAGTAGACACATATGTCTTGAAGATAGCACAGTATTAAGTATAAAGAGCACAATAGAAGAAAATGTATAGATGTGGTTCCATTTATGTAAAATAGAAACACATATGTATATGTGTACACACACACACACATACACATATATGCAGAGAAAAAGCAGAAGACGCATACCAACGTTTTTTTCTGTGAAAGGGAGTAAAACTTAAGGGAAGACTGTGAATGGGAGAAGTTCATGTTTTGCTCTGTTTTTCTTATAATGTTTGAACTTTTACAAGAGGATGTATTCATGTATTGTGTGTAATATTTTAAAAACTCATAGTACATAAGGGGGTTGGAGAAAATATTTTACTTCCTCGAGGTCTTTTATCAATCAGAGATCAAAGCAGGAAACAAAAACCAAATCGGACAGAAAGATTTTAATACAAGAAGTTTAATCCTTATAAAATCACTGAGAGACTGGATGAATGGCCTCTGGACTGGCACACCATGAACTCTTTCCGAACACCACAGACCCACCTAGAGGGATTCTAACTTTGCCGTAATCAAAAATGGGAAGATGGCAGCCGCCACTGGAAGAAAACAAGCAAACAAACAAAAAACCACAGAGCAGCAGCCAGGGAGTCGGGAAGCTGCTGCTGCCACAGCTGCCTCTGCATATCAGGGAGCTAATGGGTGATGCTGGATCCGAGTCTGGCGGTTGCTGCTGCCTCCAGCACAACTGCCTTCCAGTACCCACAGTCCTGCTTTCTAGCAGGAACATCCAAAAACAAACAGAAAGTGCCTTCTGTCTTCTGCTGCCTTTCAAGTCTTACCTGCATGCATCTCACAGGTAAAACCAATTTTCATCCAGGACTCTAGCTGCAAGGGAGTCCAAGGAATCTTCACCTTTTGTCCTTTCTAGGCTCCGAAGGAAGGTGGAATGGAAGTTAGCTAGCTAAACCTTTCCTCAAGGAAGAAGAACTCAAGATGTTTTAGACACTCAAAAACTGTAAGTTTACAACCCATAGCATCTCTGCTAAAGGATACATTGCAATGAGAACGAGGTGAATTATAAGAAAAAGTGGTTTTTAAGAAGTCATTTAGAACTTTAAGTGTTAAGTAAATTCCACAGTCCCATTTGATGACTGAGAACAGGGGTTGCAAGTGTTTCCTGTAAAACACTAGAAAATCAATATCTTCAGCTTTGCAGGCCGTATGGTTTCTGTCATGACTACTCAGCTTTGCTGTTGTAGCACAAAAGCAGCCAATGGCAATACACAAACGAATGGATAAGCTGTGTTCCAATCAAATGCTACTTACGAGACCAGGTAGAGAGCTGGCTTTGGTTTACAGGGTACGGTCTGCTGATCCTGGGCTGAGAAGATCACCAGGCATAGACCCCCCAGAAAGAGCATTTCTGGAAAGGGAAAGGTTGCAAATTTGTTGAGAAACTACATGGTGTGATCATGCAAAGGCAGGTGTCTTTGAGGCTAATTACAGTGTACACAAAGGAGCTTCAGAAAGGAAGCTGAGGCCAGATCAAGAAGGACCTTGTGCAATAACCTAAGTTGCTGTACACTCAGAAGAATTTTAAAAAGGGTTTTGACATGATCAAATGTGGGTGTTAGAAAGTACTTTCAGCACTGTTGCTTAGGAATGGTTTGGAAAGACTGAAGGCAAGTAACCCAAGCTGAACAATAATCTCTATTTTGGAGATTTGGTGGTTTCTGGGGTAAAAAGGAAGGCCAAATTCAGGAGACATTTTAGAGTTAAAATCAACAGAATAGGTGACCCAAAAGTAACATTAAACATGAGGACAAACAGAGCGGAAGGAAGAGCTGTTGTTAGCGGCTGGGGAGAGAGGTGCTAGGTGGGAGGAGTGGACATAGTGAAGGAAGGCGATGCCCACACGAGAACTCCGACCTAGCACGGAATCATCTCTCTCCCATGTCTTCTGGCTGCTACTTGACAGAAAACTGAAAACTGCCACCTACCTGTGTATTTCCTGACAGACTTGGGATGCTCTGGAAACTTCATAAATAGAACTGATCCTGGGAATTAGGTGCCCACACAGGTCACACCCATCGCCCTGACCCCTACAGGGGAATATCCAGATATCTTCAAACTTGCAAAAAGCAAGTCATTCGCCCTCGAATTCATGGGTGACACCATTTTCCCGCCAGGCATCGAGATGCTGCCGATCAAAATCAACAACTTTCTTATCTGAAAAGTACTCTAAAACTCCGAAGGCCTTTGTGGCTATCACCTGAGAATTGTCCCCCGATTTCACCATCTTCATGAGTTTCTAAAGGAGGGACTCCCACTTCGGTCACAATCCGCGGACAAACACCTGGAGTGAACCCTCCGACGGAACTGTGCTGTCTCCACTACTCAGCCGGCTCCATGCTTCTCCCTCCTTCTCCGTGGGCGCAGCCCTCAGTGACAGCCCCATCTCCTACTGCCTGCCCTTGGCCAAGCTCAGCACACCTTATACCAGTGGTCTCCAGCCTCTTCCGCACCAGGGACGGGTGTCATGGAACACAATTTTCCCACTGAGATGGGGACAGGAGGCGGAGCTCAGGAGGTTTCATTCATTGGTCCGCCCCTCACCTCCTGCTGTGCGGCCCCCATTTGCAACAGGCCACTACCCGTCCCATTTCGCAGCCCAGGGGTTGGGGAACCCTGCCTTACACCATGATCAGAGAGAGGTCGCATTTGAAATAGGTAACTGGATATGCTTGAAATATGATGCTAAAGCAAACAAGTCAGTGTGCTATTAAATGTCAAAGTATGAACACAGCTGTCTGGAAAAAAACAAAACGAAGCAAAAGCAGCAGCTGACAGTTACAGGCTGTTTCTGCTGCTGCGTCCACTATGCGCCCCCCACCCCCATCACTAACACCATTGTCACAGCCGCTGCCAAAAAGGCTTCCAGAATGTGGAAAGCAGGGCTAAACTACGATGGTGTCTGTCCTGTGCTCTAGGAAGCCATGTTTAGGGCATGCGCAGTCGAGCAATGACTCAGAGGGGTAGTGCAACCCCGGGAGCAAGCGCAGTACAATGTGGGAGATGTGCTTATCCAAGGGGTAACACCCCGCACTCAGAGCATGCGCAGTGGGGTGACATAACCAGCATGTGCTTACAGAAGTGGCACAAGACATGTATTCATCGAAGGCTGATGGAGCATCACATCCTGCAACACTATGAAAGCAGAAGCCTTCAAACAGACAGCTGAGACAGCTGAGAGGAAGAGAACGGGCAGGCCGCTGCCCTCACCAACCCTGCCCTCGCTGACTCTGAAGCCGCTGCAGACACTGCCTTGCAAAACACTGGCCGCTGCTTCCCGGACCGAGACTCTGATCCGGGCTCTTGGGATTCATTATCCCTCGGTTCTCTTGTGTGATGTTATTGCTAATTGTTTATGAGTGGTGATTAGCGTTATTAGGTTATTACAGATTTGGATCGAATCTACTTTAATAAAAGCTGAGTGAAGAGCGCAGTCACCTGTGTGGACTCACTGTTTTTCCTTGGTGGCAGCGTTACCTGTGGGGCGCATAGACCATATAGGTGGCCTGACGCTTTCAGTTCCTAAGGCCTGGGTCAGACAGCCTGAGCAGGAGGTGGTGGGGGGTGGGGGCGGTGGTGAGGGCTGGCTTACAGGAAAGACTGTATAGTCAAATGTTTGCTCATCACACAGAGCAAAACAGAAGCAGAGAATGTTGCTTTTCTGCCTCTCACCTTCCATTTTTCTGCAAATGCTTCGCCTTGGCAGAACCTAATTGGAAGACAGCTGGCAAAGGATCCGGAAAACGCAGGTTCGCAGTGCAGTGCAGAGTAAAGCACGGGGGATGGCAGTGAGGGAGAAAGAAAGCAATTAGGCTAATGGTCGGCACAGATATTCTATAACACCTCAGCCGTTCGAGCCTTCCGCCACCCGCGGCATCACCACCTTCAAAAAGCCTGGCAAGAGGAGAAAGTAAAGGCAGCGTTTGGTATTTGGTTCAGAGGTCTGTGTTTTTCAGACCACTGAAAACAGACTCTCCCCCCAGAAAAAGCTGCTCTCTCTTCCTCCCTCTCCCCAGGTAAGTCTGGGTCCACCACATACTGCTCATTATTACTTCGTTTCGTGTCCTTGCCCAACTTTGAAACTCTAACCTTCAGTTCGGTTCTTAAGACTCTGGTTCTGCTGTTGACTTTAACTTGACCTTGGCAGTGAAATACTTTGGTGCTTCAGGGTCTAGGTAGCAGTGAAAGGCCAGAATGATGCTTAGCTGTCTTGGACATTAGTTCGTTTCTTGCTTTTGCCAAAAAAGACACCTCTAGTGTGTAATTTAATATTAACACTAAGCTAAAAGGGAATTTTTATGCTTTTCTTTTTCAAGGCAATGTCTCTGCAATACCAAAATGTAATGTTTGCTAACGTGGATATCGACGATTCTCGGGTAAGAGTTTTAAATCTTTCCACGTAGGCACGTAAAAATCTGAATGTAACTTCACTGAGAGTACTGTCTCAGTGAGTGATTATAGTCGATTTAAAGTCAAGCAGAATTTCACAGTTCTTTGTGATGAACAGTTGTAAACTCTCTCATATGCTCTAGTGTGTTGTGTATTACTTACAAAAAAAAATTTTTTAAAACAGCAAACATGGGCCTCTCCTGCCACCCCTCCCCCCTCATAGGAAGGCAGGCTTCATTAATCAATCCTCACATTCTTCACCACTTACTGACCCTGGACTCTGCCCCAGAAACCTGCTCAGCAGAGTTGCTGGAGACAGACCACACCACCTGGTTGGAGCTGGGCTCAGGATGAAAAGTGAATTTCACCCCTGTGATTATGAATCAATTTCTAACTCAATGCATTACAGACGTTTTAATCTATCTTACTTACCTCTTGCTGTATCTTTTTTCTTTTTTTTGGTAAGGTTTTTTTAAACATCACAAGAAATTCCAGGAAATCTTTCTTTCATGTCCCTAGAGCCTTTCTTTCTGAACCCATCCGCCAAAAATAATCAGCTGCAAGTCCTCACATTGTGCCTTATTATACACAGAGTGTGGCTACAGAATTATTCTTCCTAACATTTGTTTTACTTGTCATGAGGAAAAGTAACAATAAGTGGTGACCTATGCAAACATCAGAATTTGAGCTTTAGAATAGCAAAAGAGCATGTGATCCACCCATTCTGCTCTTTCATATGTTTCCTTCTCGTGTGGGTATGTATATCTAGGAGTAGAATTGTTGGGTCACATGGTTACTCTGCATTTAAGTTTTTAGGGAACTGACAAACCATTTTCCAAAGCAGCTGAACTATTTTGCATTCCCACCAGCAATGTCTGGACATATGATTTCTCCACATCTTCCCTAACACATTATTGTTTGCCTTTTTAATTGTAGCTCTTTGGCTTTTAAGATTAAACAAAACGCACAATTTTCTTTCCAGTTAGTAATTTATTTATTACTTGTTGTCATTGCTGTTATTATGGAAATTATAATGTAATGTGTATGTGCACATGTGTGTGAGTGTGTGGGGGGAGTGTGGTAGTAGCAGAGAAGAGATTTAGTACCATGAGTGACAAGTATATCACAGAGAAAAAGCCCAATTCTGTTGACCCTGTGGGTGATTTTCTTTTAACTCTAAACAAGATCAACAAAAACTGCCATTGAAAGCGGATTGTAATAGATTAAAACAACTGACATGTTGACATTTTTCTTTTTTTTTTTGCTCCAAATTTTTTACAAAGATGGGCCATGAAGAGGAGTAGGCTTAAAAAAAGAAATATGTAAGCCTCACTTAAAATGCTAGACCATTATGTCACTCCATATCTCAAGTGCAAGAAGTGTAAATTATAAAGATACCTTTACTCTTCCTTCTTCCTTTTCCCCCACAATGTGCTCTCTCCATCTTGGCTTCTACTGGGTCCCTCTGCAATCTTTTTCTGGTTCTTTTAAGCAGAGCTCATTTAGTCATTCAACACATTCTGTTTCGGCATCCCCCCTCACCCCTCTTTTCCACCTCTGGGGTGAGAAAGCTCAGGAGAGCTGGGAACAGTCATTTTCTATTGTAGCACCCTGGAAGCTTGGGGGATACGTTAGAGAGTTCCTGGTAGGAGAAGCTTAAAAATGTCAGCTGTCCCTGAGCTTTAAGATAAGCCTTCTGAGAAGTCACCCAAGTCTATGCTTGGTACAAAAAGAGGGTACCAAATTTTGACTTTGTGACATTTCTTTTCTTCCCCAGGAGTTGGCCAAAACTTGTCACATCAGAGTAGTACCTACATTTCAGATGTTCAAGCAAGCCCAAAAGGTATGTTTCCATGATAAACTGGCAAAGTTGAGATAGATTATAGAACCATCAGAATCTAAAAAAGAAAAAAAAAAGACTGGAGTATCCTGGATGGATTAAACAACCGTGTTTATTTTTAATACTTAACAATGTAATTCTTACTTCTGAGCTTTACATATTGGCAAGGAGTTAAAAAATGCATGAATGATAATAAATTTCCCCATTCAGACCACCTGAGGAGTCCAAATACATAAGAAATACCCTACTATTACCTCTCTCTGGGGTAAACCATTCAGAAAGAATCTTACCAAAAAAAGGACGTGATGAAATTCTCATACAAATGTATACAAGTTTTAACAACACTTGAGCAATAGAGTTAAATAATGTTTCAAAAAAAAATAATAAAACGACCTGTTCCCTCTCTTGCGTGCTTACTTGAAGACTGAAGCTGTTTAACATATGCAGCGTCATCCTCCCCCGCCTCCACGTCAAGTTCTCTGTGGCATCTTTTGTTTTCTTCTCTCGTCCACCTCAGAAACAAGGATGCTTTCTCCTTCCAAATCCATTCCATCCACCGCATCTTGATTAAATTCTTTCCATTCTGTTCCAGGCTTCCACTCACTGGCAGAGTCATAGTCCATTAGGCCTCTTCTAAAAGCACAGTGTGCAAAAAGCCTTCTGGTAATTCCTCCTAGAACACAGACTGTGGAGAATATTTGCCTCCCTTGAAAATAGGATTTGCTCCCTTGCATTCAATCAGGAGACTTAGGGAATTCGTGGTTTTCCCTTTTTCCATTGCTGCCAAGAATCTCAGGGTTCCTTCCACTACTCAAACACTGTCGCCTCCCTTAGCCAGTTTCCGGGCATTTCCTAACTACCGTCCCCACACGGCCCCATGCTTTTGATGTTTTGCTATTCTGTCTTGCTCTTGATTCTAGCTCATTTCAAATATTTTCAAGGTGTATAGAATATAAATAAAATAAAAAACTAAAATAAATTAAGCCATTATAACAATGATGCAGGGCCCTGGTGTACAATGGGCATTCCTCGGTGCTAGAAGTTTTCACCCAGAAGTTGGCTAAGCATCTGGCAGGGATGCCCTGGCAACAACAGCTGCCGTTGTTTCACAGCTTTAGGGCGCAGGGCAGCCAAAGCCAATTACAGTCCATAAATAAGGTGGGTTTGTTCCTTCTTGCTGTATTTCTCAGTGTTTTCACCTGAGACATCACATTTTTGTTCCAGTAACGTTAATGGTGGTTTAAAAAAATAGTGCATTCCTGTGGTATCTTCCAGGTGGGGCATTCAAAATCTTGGCTGGCTTTTGTAACCAGAATAGTATATTGTATTCTATTATAAGTAGTTCATAAATTTGGTTTACAGACCCTCTTAAAAGCCAGTAAAGACTATAAGCTCTCTCCAGCAAAATGTACATAGTGCGCATGTACTGACATGCGCATATCATACCAGGGTACCCGTTGAGCCCCTGAAGCCAATCAAGAGATTCCCTTGGATAACACCTTTGTTTCCACATCAGCGTTGGTAGATGTCCGTGGAAGGGGGGAAGGTAGAGTAACAAAGACCTAGCAAGTCCTGGCCAACTGCTTAAGCATGGGCCACTGGCAACAGTCGGTTCCACCTCTCATTCTTTGATAGGATAAAATGCAGTTCAGTCTTCTCATAAGAGTGATGGGATATGGGTACGTAGATAAGTAACAAATGGATTATTCACAAATGAATAACTCAAAAGAACTGAGCTGTCCTATTAAGTGAGAGGAAACTTGGCCTTTATGCTTGTGGCGCACACGGCTCTTGCTGAAGTCATAGAAGTCATTTCCAGCCAGCACCCCGCTTGACACAGGCACAGAGGGGAAAAGAATCCCAAGTAGTCAGCAACACTGTGTACTAAAAAGAGGACAGTTTTGGAAGCAAGGGGTCACAAACTCAGTGTCCTCAAGGGTCAAGCAGGGACAATAGGTGAGACAATGGAAGTGAGGAAGATGGTGGGTGGCCCTTGAAAAAATCACCCTCCCAAATGCTCACTGTTCAAGTTCATAAAAAATAGTGTTGGACCCACCCTCTAAGAATAGTGTCTGCAGCTAATTTCTGCCGTCTTTGGAGTCAGACAGCTGTAGGTTGGACCCCAGGTCTGCCTCCTATTAGTGAGTTACCCTGGAAATGTGTTTTAACCACCTTGAGGCGTAGTGGCCTGCCCTGTGCAATAGGGACTGTATCACATGTATCTGAATGATTGTCATGAAAATGTATGCAAGGTGCCCTAGCCCTGGACTTGGCACACACTGCAAAATGTAGCTGCTAGCAGAGCCCCAGGATCTACCTGTACACCCATTTTCCTGAAAATGTAGAAATAAATAGAACTTCGGAAATAATAATTATGAGAAATCCCCAAAGCTCTTTGACTAACTACAATATCCATCTAAAGTAAGTCATCCTAGCACGGAGGAACTACCTACCCAATGACAGCCAACCTGGTAAGGATTGTTTCAGACGCAGAAGGGTTCTGCATGAGAAGGGAAAAATAAGAACTCTTACACGGTCTTCAGGGTACCAAAGGGTGCAGATTCCTGAAAGGAGTTTCCTATCAGCCCATAAGCAGCTGATTCATGGGGAAAGATTAAGATTAATTGACTTAATTGACGGGAGGACGCAAGAACCGAGTGAGACCGGGGGAGGCGGGCGGGGGGGCGGGGAGGCGCGGAGTGCAGCAACCATTTATCACCATGTTGCAACCTTGACCGCATTGCCATTGCCAAAGGCACTGCTCTGGGCTTTAGTAACAGAAAGGCAATAATTGCTCATGCGCCTCTTTTCTCCAGGGCAGGGATTAGGGTGAGGCAAGTGAGGCAGGATATTTCAAGTACAAGGTGGAAGGAACCCTGTCTTTATGTGAATGTTTCGTGTTGTGTTTACTATGGACTTTTGCATTCATTTTTAATACTTTTAAAAATGTGTTAAACTATTATTTATCTTGAATCCTGAGTCTCTGGCACTCCTTAAATTTACACCCTAGTCCAAGCCCCATTGTTCTCTGAATTTTAAATTGTTGAAAAATGGGTAATCCTCCAGAAAGACTTTACAAGACTCCATGGCAGCCTGTACTCACAGCTAAGATTCATCACAGCAAAGAGTAGAGAGTGAAACAGCAGGAATCAGAAATACACTGATGGAGTCCGGAGAGGTTCAGCACGGACTCCTGATGTTCTTCCTTGTCCAAGGACACACGAAAATATTCTCTCTGGCAATGAATTTTAGGGGCATGTGTAGAATGTCTCTACTTGAGGGATCTCCTTTTGAGTCTCAGGGTCTGAAGACTTGGTGTGGGGACTGGTCACACAGACGTATCATGCTAGGCAACCATTGCTACATGACTAGCCATGACGGTGGAAACTCAGGACCCCCAAAACAAAGCCTGATTCACATGACCAATGCTGATGTTTTCACAAAGCAACTTGACAAGCCACTGAGTAGCGGTCCTTCACTCCAAACTGATACAAGGTCTGTCTGGAAGGTATCCAGCTATGTAATACAAGAAACAGAGATTTTTATTGAAGGAGATATGAGAAACATTGTACATAGGACAGCGATGCCTCAGTCTCCACCAAAGTGGGCACCTTGGGACCTCACACAGTTCTCCCAGCTGCCATCAGCTGCCCCGCTGTATTTTCCTCAATCTCATCGACAGTCCAAAATCTCTTCCCTTTCAAAGCTGATTTTAATTTTGGGAAAAGCCAGAAGTCACAGGGCACCAAATCTGGGCTGTAGTGGGGAGCTGAGTCACCTGGATGACTTGATCTTTTGCCATAAAACTCTGCATGAGACGTGATGCATGAGCAGGTGAGTTGTGGTGATGAAGCTGCCAATCACCAACTGCCCATAGCTGCGACCTTCAGAATTATCCGAATATTTTCCACAGAGGAATGCTCACACTTCACACAAAACGTGAGGCAGATTCATTGCTCTACTCGCTCAGTCATTTTGAATGGGACGGCCACACAGTACACATGCTCACTCAATGATGTCTATTGTCCCTACTGACTAGTACAGTGAAGTGGTCATTGTTCACACATGCACAGTCCAGTCCACTCTCCTAGGCTGCCAGGTTACATCAGTGCACAAACCATTCTTGTTGTATGAACAATGGTTGAACTTTTTCCGGATAGACCTCTATAATAAAACATCAATCACTAACACAAAGAAAATTCAGAGGGCCACATTTTCTGAGTAATTGGTGAAAGTTCTCTCATGATTCTCTTGGAGACATGCAAGGAGCAAGCTACCAGATATGCTGTGTTAATTATTTTCTTCCATGGTGTGAAGTAGAAAATCAAACATCACCTTTATTTTAAGTAACAGAAATGCCAAGTAGGACTAACTAAAGGGCGTGGCTTGTACCCACATCAACAGACTTCCCACGATCCCTTGAAAATTGACTTTTAGATGACCCGTCTATGGGAGGTTTGGGGCAGCAGAAGAGAAACTTAACCACCAGGTGAAGGTGATATTGCTGCTTTTCACAACTATGGACCCCCGAAAGTGAGGTCAGAGGGCGAGAGCCTTCGAGACCTATCTGTAGGAAATCAAACTTAGGCCCCCGTCGGATGTGTTTTCCAGAAGAGCAGTGGGAGGAGAGCAGACCTGTCCCTTCAGCAGAATATCCCCCCAAAGGGAGTAGATAGAATGGGCTCTCTCCTGCACCTAGGTTTAACCGAGAAGCTCGCCTCTGAACTTGGACAGAAGTCAGGGAAGGGGAAAAACAAGCATACTTTCCTAGTACTTCAGAGTGGAGCAGGTTTTCCAGGGGAAACATGAGGAGTACATGCCACTGAAGGAAATGGCTCCAAAGTCATCCCCGAGTTCCATCCCACGCTTCTCGTGATGGGCAGAATGACATCTCCTCCGGCCGCAGTCCAAATCACTTTTCCTATTCCAGTGTGGCTCCAAATGAAGTCCCACAATCCAGCCCCGCCCCCTCTTCCCTTCAGCCGGAAGCCGTACTAAGTCGC